GGGTGGTGGTGGTGGTGGTGGTGGTGGTGGTGTGAGGGTAGTGATGGTGGTGGTGGTGGTGGTGGGCGGGGCGGGGGGAAGAGCCTGCGGTGTGGATACACGCAGTCTGTGGGCGGCCTACAGGCCATCTGCAGGCCAGGGCGTAAGAGCTGTTCTCTCTTTTTGCAGAGCGCAAGATCGTCGCGGGTTGGGAGCCGCACCCGAGTCACTGTACATGTGAGTCGTGCCGCAGCTGCGGCTTTTGTGGCAAAGCGTTTTCCACTGTTGGGAGTCGCAAGCGGCACGAACGCGACAAACACGTGGACCCCGGGTCGTTACCGTGTGAGGTGTGTGGCAAGTGGTGCAAGAACCGCGGGGCACTGATCAAGCACAAGAGCATGTTGCACCGACCTCTGCTGCCCACCGACATCCGCTACGACACCCACCCTGCCCTCCTCCTGGCGGCCCACTCTGCTGCCCACCACCACTCCTTCTCCACCCACCATACCACGCCCCTGCCGCCCACCACGCCCGTGACCAGCACCACCACGTCTCCGCTGCCACCCATCTCCGTGACAGCCATCGGAGAGAGCAGTGAGGGAGAGAGTGCCCTGGGTGCCGTGGGGGGAGACATACAGCGAGCGTATCAACAGTTCATGTGACGGGGCGCGGGGCGCGGTGGAGCGGGGCCAGGGATGGGCGGGGGTGATGGGTGGTGTTGGCACCACAACATGGGTGACGGGGACGGGTGTAGGGAAGTAGCCTTGCCCTGTAGTGGAGTGTTAGTGTGTGTGTAGCAGGCAGTGGCATCACTCACGGGCGTCTCTCATCTTACAGGCCGCGAGGACCCAGAATGTGAGGCCCCCATGGGTCTGCCCGCACCGCCCACCCAGGGCCATCATACCCCCCCCTTGGGGGCCTTCGCGGGGGGATTTCCCTGGCCGCCCCCTCCTGGGCAGCAGCATACTGGGGGGCCAGGTGCCGCACCCCCAGACAACCAGTGCATGTTCTGTTTCAAGTCATTCTCGAATCGTGGTTCCATGACCCGACACCTGCGGGACCAGCACCTGCAGCCGGGTGCAACAGTCACCTGCGACATCTGTGGAAAGGTGTGTAAAAATCGCAATTGTCTGATCACACACCGGTCAGTGGCTCACTCTGATCGGCGACGGCCCCGAGGTCCACCCCCCCAGCAGCAGGCCTGGGCTGCCCCAGACAAAACCTTGATGGACATGCTGCACCAACAACACCATCAGCTGCAACAGGAAGTGCCCACTGATCAGGCGTGAGTGTGGCGGGGAAGGTAGCCCCGCCTCCGTAGCTGTAGTACAGACTTGGTGTAGACTCCCACATGCTTACATACTGCCAGTTTAGAAGCGCTTGGGACCCACGTGGTGGCCAAAGTTGTGCTAGTCTTGGATTGTTGCCTCCGTAGCGCGACACAGGTTCCTTATGCACACTGTAACAGAGCATTCCAGATCCAGAGTAGTTATATTTTGTATACCCAGAATGCTTGTAGTAGTGAACCTTTGTAAGACATTGCTTTAAGTGCCAGATCTCATTCTTTGTAGTCTGTGATGTTACTATGGTATGTATACTTTAAATAAATAAGATATTCCTAACGCTCTTTTATTTACACCATGAATGCCTCTTTTACCAGAATTTACATAATCTTATGTAACATCAATAAAATATATATATATATATATATATATATATATATATATATATATATATATATATATATATATATATATATATACATACATACATACATATGGTGTGTGTGTGTGTTAAAAGTTGGAGTGCAGGTGTAGTCAACACAGGAGAGTTACCGTGATAAATGTTCTCTATAAAGGAAATGAGTTCAAGAAAGAGGATAAATAAAATGTCATTCATCATACTTTTAGCATTTTTATATTATTTTTATTAATGGTTCAAACTTTTACATTTCATAATACATACGACTTATATATAGAAGTATATAGAACACAATAGCTCATATTTCACGATACACCGGCATATAATATAATACAGCAGTATTAATTGTCAAGTGTATACAAGCACACATTATAGAGAATTACAATTGGAAAAAAAGTTGTATACTGCTTAATTAGTCAACAGCCTGGCGTCATTTCCCTTAAAACCGGTCACAGGCATGTCCCAGGCAAATGTATGTTTTATAACGAAAACCTGGCAAGCGTTTCAATTATTGCAGAGTGATCACGCTTGCATGCGTGGCTCCTGATCCTTCAGGACGTCAGGGAAATATCCCAATGAGTTCTTTATATAACTGAGTAAGGAGCAAGTGCAAGGCTGTCAACATGACAACCAGAGCAACCCCCTATATCCAGTGTGAAGTATTTTATATTCAGACGTCACAGGAGACCTTTGATATACCTTGGATGAGTGTGTGTGTGTGTGTGAGAGAGAGAGAGAGAGAGAGAGAGAGAGAGAGAGAGAGAGAGAGAGAGAGAGAGAGAGAGAGAGAATGCGTGCGAGAAGAAGCTTGTTCGTGGCAATAAAAAGAGCTATGCTGGTGTGTGCGTGTTAAGAAGGGGTGTGCGTGGGTATATATTTTGGATCTTATACATGTGTGCATTTTGTATGTATGCGTGTGTATTTACACAGTGTAGGTGTTTGTGTACACATGTTTATATGTACGTATGAGCTGTTTCAGTATTGTTCGTGCGTGTGTTTTACATATGTGACTGTCTATTGCGTATACGTCAGTTTGGTCTTTGTATATACCTAGGTGTATGTTTTGTGTATGTCTTTGTGTGAAGGTTTTTGTATGTGTGTGTCTTTGTGTGAAGGTTTTTATTTTTTGTATATGTGTATGTGCCTGTGTTTTGCGTATGTACCTGTATTTAATATATGTATTTGTGTGTTTTTATGTACCTAGGGTTGTTTTGTTTGTGCGTGTATTTTGTGTGTATGTTTTTGTATGTGTGTGTGTTTAGCGTGACTGTGTGTTTATCTTAACCCTTGTGTTCTGGTGTGTGAGCGTGTGTGCACATTTTTTTTTTCATAATTCCTCTATTATATATCACCATGCTAATGGTAGTGTTTAACTAAGACATTATGTGGAGTTGAACCCGGGTCTACCAGATGACATCTCCCCCAACACCTCTACACTTGTAACCGGGTGAACCCTGCTGGAAGAGAGTGCAGAAGAACATAAGAATGGAGGATCACTACATTAGGCCTTCTCACTTGAACCTCCATTATGCCTATGGTAAATGTCCCACTTCGTAAAAAAAAAATTAAAATATTAGCCTTCATGACGCAGAGGTATGGATAGCCACCTGGCGGACGCCGGTTCGATCTCCCATGATTATTTGTATGCACAGTTACATGAGCTGCATGACCCGTAGGGGTTTAGCGCTTGTTTTTAATATAATAATAATAATGTTACACGATTTTAAAATCTCTATCTAAATAATTCTAACCAATTTCATGTTAGGGGCATTGTTGTGAAGTAAAGGGACCTTCAGTAAATTATTTTACTAGAGAATTCATATCAAATATTGTGTATATACGGAAGTTATGAAGTGAAGAATATTCTCATGAGTTCGTCACAATGTTGGCAATAGTAAGAGGAACTTTCATGTTTATGTGTTGCGTGATCAGTAGGTTTATGGCCAGTAACGGGTGTAGAGGTTGAGGTGTTGAATGTGAGGCAGATTCCGATAGCATTATCCTCTGAGGGTTTAATTTTTTATCTCTGTGCATGATGATGATGAGGTTCTTATGCCGTAGCCTAGCTCCCTACCCCTCCCTCCTCCATGGTTGGCGGTTCCTGGCCTGGTTGCTGCTGCTGCTGCTTGCTAGAGTCTCACGCTGTGAGGCCGCCATCCGCCCTTACGCCGTGTCTCTTGCAGGTGGCGGTGTTTGCGGTGGCGACAGTGGTTGTGGCGGGGACGCCGTCTGGTACCCACGGGTGGTGCTGCGGCCCAAGACCTACTTATGCCCCTTCTGTGATAAGTGCTTCACCAACCGGCAGAGTCGCTCCCGTCACGTACATCAGAAGCACGCGGCGGGGCTGGCGGGGACCTGCTCTGTGTGCGGCCATGTCTACACCAACCTTCAGACTCGCTGTGCTCACACCCGCGTCCACTCACGCAAGATAAAACCATAGCCTCCCATGCTGTCCATACTAACTCTTTATCAGTCACTGAAGGCAGAACCTTCCCTCTTTGCATAACTGGCCGCAGGGCACGGCGTTAGGGAGGTGACATGACAGTTGGGAGGCTGTCAGTGCGACGGTTAGATAAAGTACCGTTCACTAAAGCCTATCTGCAACACATTGACAATAAAAGTGACCACTGACTTTACAAAGACAATTTCCTCTCGGGTTGTGGTAGAAGAGCGCCCCCATGTGTTTCTTGTAGATGTGGAGGCGAGGCCTGGCCTCACCTCATGTCTCTAGTTCCCTCATCAGTCTCAAGTAACTTGTTATAAGGCCTGCCTAACACTCATTTCTAAAGCTTTAGAGCATAAGGTAGGACGCTGAGGATTCTCACCAAGCGTAGATCAGTGCCAATTCATTTTAATTGCTACCTACAAAACTTTATAGTGATAACACTCATTTCATGTAAGTTTTTTTTTTTTTGTAAATATGTTTTGCCCCATCTAATGTGTATATACACAAGTTTTCATATGAATAAAACTGCAACTAGCTACATTGGTTTTAATTCTGTAATATTGTATCCAAACACAAGGAAACTTTGGTCAAAATGGTAGGTATCTTTGTGTGGTGCGTGTGATAATGGGTTGATCTCAGTATAATGGGTTGATCTTAATACGGTAGGCGTGCAGTGCAGGGTATGGTACAGTGGCAGTGATGGCGGCAGTGGAGTGGATGCCACCCACGGTGAGGTACACTGCGGGTGGGATCCTGGACCGTGTGTACTGTAGTGTTCTGACGCAAGGCCCTGGGTAGTGTTGTGTAGTGTAGGTGTGCAGCTGCCTCCTGGCGCCTCTCCCCGTTTTCACCCCCGCCCGCCGTCTCTTTTCAGATGTGTCCGCCTTGATGGCAATCGCTAACGCTGTGCAGGCTACAGCGCCGTCGGACCGCCCCATGAAGTGTCCGCTGTGTATGGGCATCATCAAGCAGGCTCGCAACCTGCGGCGCCACGTGTTCAAGCGTCACCTGCCCGCTGCCAAACGCGGCGAGATCACCGAGGCCGACGTCAAGAACGTGCTCGAGAGTAAGTTGAAGGCCATCACTGTCACTCCACTCACAGAGGATGAGTTGCGCCAGGTGCAGCAGCGCACACGACGCAAAGGTATAAGGACGCCACGTAAAAAGAAAGGCATTGCATCTCTTCCCGATGGTATTAATGTGGCCAATATCAACGAGTCAGAAGTGACAATTCGCAAACTGCCACAAAAGAAAGACAAGAAAGATAAGGTAGGAGGTGTCACCGCATTGTCATCTGGCGTGATGAGTAGTGGCGATAGTGCACGAGAGGGCAGAGAGGATATCTTGCAGGAGGCACTGGCAGCACGGGACAAGGACGTTGCTCCACAGGATGAAGTAATGGACCTGGCTACAACCCAACAACAGTTACCGCCCATATCCGTAGTGGTGTCCCACAGTGGCCACACTGGCGTCCAGGTGGCATCCCAACCCATGTCTCTCACTGTGACACAGACGGCGGGTGGTATTCACGCTCGTATACCGGCAGAGGCGGCACTGGGGGCAGGGGTACGGCTGCAAGCCGATTCCCCGCTCCCCTTGCACCGAGATCTTTCTATGCCAGCTATGCCATTCGAGCCTCAGGTGACCATCAGTGAGGGCTTGGTCACCTACCACACCACTTCACCTTCCCAGGTGCTGACCCAGACCACTTCGTCATCTCCGTCTGGTTATGCTCCCACCTCATACTGGTCCCCATCAGGAATGGGGCTTCCTGCCGGCACCTTCCAACCTCACCAGAGTGTGTTTGCTCCAGCCCATTCTGAGTACTTCGCAGCGGGTGTCCACATGACTCGCCCGGCCTCCCTAGAACGAATGCAGCAGCATCGTCGTAAACCTTACCAGTAAAGCTGTTCAGGTTACTTGGGAGGCCCAAGCTGCTGCCAGGGCTACCCGTGTCACTGCTTGAACTTAAGAGGGGAGGAGCACTGCAGTAGGCCTACTGACCCTTGCTAGGCAGGTTCTCCACCAGAAAGTCAGCAACTCACTTTGCCTGGCTCCAGGTAGAGGTAATTGGGATAGTTAGAGGTGATGCGCAGCCCATGGGCATGGGGCTGATGTGGGGTGGACCAAAGGCCCTCACCACCACACCAACCTCGTAGTGGAGTAGAGTACAACATTTTTATATAGCAAGGACGGCAATTATCTGTGTCCATTTATTTTAGTTTGTACTGATGGTACAAGTGAACTCTTATGAGATTAGTGTTTTTATCTGTGCTTTCCTTGTTGCTTGTCTATTGGAAAAGGTAGGTATATGGTTGGTGCCATGGCTGCCGTGCTGAGCAGGTGGTCTTGTGCCTGGTAAGTGTACTACTGTCACAAATGTAATTATTGACATAACTGGTGTGTAGTAGTTTTTCATATCTAAATGAAATGAATATGATTATCACATGTGTCAGTTGTTGTGACTGAAGCAGAGTACGTTTACATGGTTTAATAGAGGGTTGACTTTTTGTGACACTACAAAAAAAAAGGTAATGCAAGGGAATGGAAAATTTATGCACAAATCTTTCGTGAGAGGATGTTAGGATGCATGTGTGTATGTGTGTGTGCGTGTGAAGTTTTTAATGTGTGCATATATAACTGAAACTTCTGTTACATGAAATACTAGACCTCATATTTGTGTTTAAAAATGCCTGTAGATGTTGAGATAGATTTGTATATTTGATTTAGGATAAATTTTGTGGTTATTTTCTAAGTTACCCTCTATGACTAGTGCAATTGTTACTTCTGGATGACTGACTGCAACAGTAAATAATTTTGTAATACAAAGAAAAGTCGGATTCAAACCAAATATATGTATGTAATTATTTCTCATTGTTTATCCTTTAATATTAACCTTTTGTTGTAATGAGTTGTTAGAGTACGAGATAGGTGTACAGTACTACATGCATGGTGTCTCGCATAAATGTATACACATTTCATTATAAAGTGTTCAGAAAATCTTGGCCTTAGCGTCTTGACAGAGGCGAACTAAGCAGAGCAACACATTTGTACAAAGCTTTCATCTTAGGCTAAAATGGCATATTAAAAATGGCACAAGTGAAAAGTAGAAAAAATGGCACATCTGATCTAGCCAGCATCCATAATTAACTTGACCTGACCAGCATCCATAACTAACTTATTTAGCATCCACACCTAACTTAACCAGCATCCATACCTAACTTAATATTAACTACATCCATACCTATCAACCAGCATCCATACCTAACTTAACCAGCATCCATACCTAACTTAATCAGCATCCATACCTAACTTAACCAGCATCCATACCTAACTTAACCAGCATCCATACCTAACTTAATCAGCATCCATACCTAACTTAACCAGCATCCATACCTAACTTAATCAGCATCCATACCTAACTTAATCAGCATCCATACCTAACTTAACCAGCATCCATACCTAACTTAAGCAACATCCATACCTAACTTAACCAGCATCCATACCTAACTTAACCAGCATCCATACCTAACTTAACCAGCATCCATACCTAACTTAATCAGCATCCATACCTAACTTAACCAGCATCCATGCCTAACTTAACCAACATCCATACCTAACTTAACCAGCATCCATACCTAACTTAATCAGCATCCATACCTAACTTAATCAGCATCCATACCTAACTTAACCAGTATCCATACCTAACTTAACCAACATCCATAACTAAACTTAACCAGCATTCATAACTAATCTAATAAGCATCCATACCTAACTTAACCAGCACCCATACCTAACCTTACCAGCCTCATCCATTTTATGTATACCTGGAGTATACCTGGAGAGGGTTCCGGGGGTCAACACCCCCGGGGCCCGGTCCGTGACCAGGCCTCATTTGTAAAAAATAAACTCAATGTATCACGTTTGTCTGCTTTTTGCTTGTGAAAATTTTTACCTGTGCTATTTTGAATGTGCATCCAAAGGTTTCTGCAGTGACTGGCTAGTAGAGAACAAACTAGGAATGCAAAACACACGTAGCAAAACGAACCTCTTTAATAGATAGTGTTTCACCCTAAATAGGCTTTATTGAGCTTTGTTTTGATGATGTACTAGTTAGGGTGATACATGGTCTAATTTTATTTATCTTAATTAGAGGGAAGCACTAAATCTATAGGGGTGATATGACATCTGGGAAATAAAAAAATAAATACTGTACTTTATTTCCACATGATACAGTACGCAGTTTTTACAAAAATTGGATAACATTAAATAACATGCGTGAAAAGCCCTCTTTTATGCAGAGCATAAAAGGGAGAAGAAATTAAATTTCTTGAATCAGTAGCCTCTCAAGGTACCTCTCTTGAGGAGACATGGTGTAATAAAAGGCTCGCTCTGCTACGTATTTTAGATTTTTACAACAGTTTCTGCTGGCATAACTGTATAGGATAGTTCAGTTTTATGTCTAAAGCTTTTTGTAAGCCCACATCATATTCAGGTTACCCATCAGTGGAGTTAAATCAGAAAGTGTATACATTTTCCTGAGTCACCACATATGCAACGAACAAGGGCATTTTATCTAGTGCGTGTGAAAACAAGATATGTCGCTGTCAGTAGTAAAGACCAAACTCAACATTTGAACTTCAATAAATAGTGCTTTAGAACAAAATTTGTACACGTAAAAATAATAAAACTCATTTTCTTTTTAATTTGTTATATTTTACATACTTAAATACATACAAGCCTTTTTTTTTTTTTTTTTTTTCTCCCAAGTTATAATTGTTGAATTCACTCTTTCTATCTGCAACGACTCATGAGAGCCAAGTGTAAATGTATTACTGCTTGTATAGTTAGGTGAATGTGTCCCAGTGAAAAAATGAACTGAGTTGCATAACAGTAACAACTATAATTTTCTTTTTTATTATGTATGATGTATTGATAAAATTGTTTCATGTGTTAGCAAAAATCTTGATCTTTTAAAATATACTAAACGTTGATATTTGAGTTTTGTATTTCTTTGAAGGGATGGGATGAACTATGTTTGGAAGTCAAGATTACATGTATGTCTTATATCTTTGTTAGTGCATATCAAGTTCAAATAATGCACTTATTTCTATTATTTATTAGTAGGAAATCTTTGTATGTGAACATGTGATGATACTTAATTCTAAATAATAAAAATCTTTCCCGTGATGTGTCATGCAGTGATTTTTGGTCATATTAAAATTTTAAGTACAGCATTAAATCTTGGGTGTGGGTGAGGGCTTAGTTGTGTATACACACATGATTAGTACCTGTTAACTGCATGGAAAGATCTTTTGGTATCTGTTCAGTACTCAAATCACACATTATGTAGAGGAATAGTTTGTAGTTCATGTATATTGTATAGTAAAATCTATAAAGATTAGTTTACAAATTATAGTGAGCCTCATCTGTGGCTTTCTTACTAGGTGTAACCTAAGAGACACTAAAGTCGAACACTTTCAGTGTCACTTATCAGACAAGAGTTCAAATGTAGAGGTGTCCCTTGGGTAGTACCTAGGATTATATAGACAAGCATGTTAAACTGTTGAGATGTCCACATACCGATATAGATTATGAGTGCGATATCAGCATAACCTTCCTAGCTGGGTCTTTTCAGCTATTTCTTAATTTGACCCTCTTGGATATACTTAACAGACTTCCAGATAAATTTTACATTAGGGGTTAAGTGCATTACGTTTTTCATAAGAAATTTCATAAGAAATTCATAGTGTGGTTACAACTGTAATGCAGCCTCACTTAAGATAGGACTCAGCAATGAAATTTACAAACTGAATATGTTATCCATACAATGACATGTATTAGCTGATTTGTAAATAATATTGATGACAATGTGTTTTTGACCCTGATGACGGGGTGGAAACAGCTAAGCAAACTGCACGTATCCTGAGAAAGAGAGTCCTAGGAAGGGTGGGTGTAGGACAGACAGGAAATCCTAAACCAACCAGCCTCCACTCATTTTACGCCATTTTCAAATACGCTTTTTAGTTTAAACATGACATCTGTAGTGTAAAAATCTAACTTTTTAAGTTTTGAATCAATAAATACAAAATGTTGCTTTGCAGTAGAATTTTCCATATTTGGTCCTGTGATTTAACCATGAAACTAATAGCAAATCAAAGTTGTCTTTCAAAGCACTTATATATAGTTTACTTTATGCATACAAGTGTATTTTAATTTTTCCATGAACAAGGAGAACTACATATTTTGTCATTCACATAGTGTATATATGTTACATTTTCACTGAAGACAGGTTTATCAATTGTAAACACCATAAAAGTAAAATATTTTTTTATAATTTATATTTTTGTATCATGTACTGTTGTGTTCATAAAAAAATAATAATAATGTATATGTTATAGTCATCATTATGTAGTGTTAAAAGTACGGCGATGATATTAGAGTGAATGTCTGACTGTATTTTATGCTTCATGAGATTGTGTAAGACTTGTGCTGTATAGTGACCTGTAGCATATTAGCAGTGAGTTTCCCAACATTGACACATGGATATTTACTAGCTGAGTATATTGCACTCCAGCAATGTGATGATTATATTAACAGAGAGGGATGTAGTGTAATGTTATGTAATAGTTGACTGTGTTAGTGTGCCTGTGCTGTGCGATAGAATGGTAAGTTGATTAGTGTAATAAACATGAGGCATCTACAGTGTGATAGTCTGAAAGTGGTGTTACTGATGTGATAATGAAGAAATGTGAGTGCAAGTGATATAGACTTGGTCAATGACAGGACACTCGGTAAGATTATTTTTCAACACGAGTCAATCACGCCAGCAGTGAAGAAAATATGATGCAAAACTAGCTTTTATTGGGACAACATTTTCACTCTGGGACTTTTACGCTCGTTTTGGAGTGAGAACATTTTCACTACTGCGCTTTAACATCGTTTGGGTGAACGTCTTCTCTCCTGAACATAGTTTGTTCTCCCACACTTTCCACTGCTGGGCAACTGGTCGGGGTGTCATACATCAGCTTCTAAGCCTGATGTTGATATAACTCTGGAGAAGGGGTAGTCTGTCTCTGGTAGATAAGTAATGTTGATATAACTCCGGAGAAGGGGTAGTCTGTCTCTGGTAGATAAGTAAGACATGAACAGCAGTTTGGTATTAGGTTTCGCCTGCTCAGCGGGCTTCTTCAGTAGAAATACAGAGGAAATAACAGAGGTAGTGGAGATGTAGATATGAGGTGATCAGTTCTTCACTCTAGGTGTGCTCAGCTCCATAACTTTGATATATTATCAGTAACTCTAATTTTTACAGGGGTGGACCAGTAAGCCAGCTGAAGGCCTCTGTCAGAATGCTAAAATCTTCAACTGCGGGTCATCATGACTAAGGCCTGCATCAGGAAACACTTGTCTTGTTTCCTGACTAACCTTACCTAACCTAATCATAGCTTTGAAGCTATGGAGCTGAGCATGCCTGGCTGTGTTACTGACCACCTCAAAATTATTTTTCCTTCCTCATATCTGCAATTCCACTACTGCTGTCTCTGTATTTCGACTGAAGAGGCCTGGTGACCAGGCAAAACGTCTTGTCAATACACATACCAGACTGTTACACATGTCTTACTCATCTACTTGTGAGTTTATTTAGGTTCAGGTACACATAGGTACAATTATACATAGCAAATGTGTAAATTACCTAGGATAACCCAAAAAAGTCAAAGTTACTTATTTCCATTGGGGTCAGAGTTTAGGCAAGGGGGTCTATCTGACCTAATTGGGAACTTATTGTTCTCGAGTTTCTTTCCGGAGGAAAATTGGTTTCCTTTCTAATTCCAGCCCAGATGTGGCCAATATATTTCTCTGACTCACAGGAGGTAGGGCCCAATAATGCAGAACCTTTAGTGGCCCTTAACAACAGTAGTTTTGCTGGCACTCCAGTGCTGTCATTGGTGGAATGCAGACATGTTTGCTCAGGGAGTAAGCTGCCAACCTCTGCTGGTGCTTAGGCCTGAGGTCCACCTGATCTGAGTTGGGAATTTCATGTTCCTGTTTCTCAATCTGGAGGAAAATTTTGTTTCCTTTCTCATACCCACCCAGATTTGGGCAATAATTTTTTCCCCGGACTCCTAGGCAGGAGGGCTTAATAAAGCTTCAGGTTTGGTGGCCCTTAATAACTCCGTCAACAGCAATTTTGTTCTGTGTGGAGCTTTATCATGATTTAATAAAGCTTCACACAGAGCGAAACGTTGTTCCAATAAAAGCTAGTTCTGTGAAGAGTGTCTTTTCTTCACTATTGTGGGCAGTACACCATTTGGATGGAGGGCAGTGGCAGCTGTGGCCGGCACCAGTCAACCTCAACTCTCACATTACTCAACCTCAAACCTGTTAAGTACTTCAATACATTTTAATCTCTCCTTTGTACTAAATGCTGATTACAACATAGAAAAATGTGTTCCTGGGTGTATGTGTATAACGAATTTTAGAAGCTTTTTAAAAGAAAAAACTAACACCACATGTAATTCTTTACAATGATCAAAACCTTTTTCTGAGTGTTAAAATATATGTATCAATAGTAAGGAGGAATTTCCATAAAACAAATTGCTTAAGATCAGTCACAATGCATCCTGGTTTAGTTTTGATGTGCCAAATTGGAGTAGATGGTTTGCAAACCTCACTCTAAAAGCAGTATTTTATTTTTTTTTTTTCTAGGCTAATAATGAGGGAAATAACTTTGAGCACTGCTATGTGTTGGTGATGCTTAGTTGGATAAGTTTCAGTTTTGGGGATCATTTTTCTTTTGATGTGTAGTGAGAATAATGTTTAGGAATAAAGTATATATGTTTTACTAATAGTTTATGCATTTATTGCATCTCAATAACCATCCAACCAGCAAACTACCAAAAGTGTCATTAGAAAGTAATTTGTTTTCATATATAGTACTTTTAATGATCCATATACTATTTATTTAACAATAAAACTCAGTAGATATTTAAGTGATATCTTTATGCTCTCTTCCTGTCAATATTGGCAGCTTATAGTATCATTTCTGTATTTTTATTTAAAGCTCTCATTCGTCTTTCAGAATTTTGGTCGGTATGGTGGTACTGTACTTGGCTGACCTCCATACTACAATGGTTGAAAGTTACTCCATTCAAATGACCAGAGCAGGTCAAAAGTACTGCACTTTGAGGATCTTACTGCTTTTTTTTTTTCATACTTGAGATCATATGCCATTGTAATTCTGTGTGTATGTACATGCATACATGTGTGTACTTACTAGTTGTGGTTGCAAGGGTTGAGTCATAGCTCCTGGCCCCACCTCTTCACTGGTCACTCTTCCTGCTCCATGAGCTTTATCATACCTGTGTGTGTGTGCATGAGTGAGTGAATGAGTGAGTGTGTATGTATTTGCCTTTTTGTAGCTACAGGAGCAGAGATTAATTCGTGGTGTACAGTCTTTGGTAATTATTCTATAATGTAATTTTTTAAATTTCCAGTGGTTGTAGTACTACAACTCTTATTATCTTTCAGCACCTATTCTGCCTTAGTTTATGGTTATGGCCTCATATTCTTCTTGTGGATGATGTTAGGAAATCTTCATTATCTTTTCATTCTTATGTGTGTTGTTGTTTCTCTTGTCCTCTAATCAGCTAATGTGGGCATGTGTAATGACTTTAATCATTTAACAATTTTTTTTAACTGGGAGCCACCTATTACCTCATCTTTGGATTTTTTAAGGTATCCCTGTTTCTTAGGTGTGCATATGTACATACGTACATATACAATGGAACCTCGACTTACGAGTTTAACCCTTTCAGGGTCCACAGGCCCTCTCAGAGACTTGTTCTCAGGGTCCCCCAAATTTCAAAAAAAAAAAAAAATGATTTTTTCTTACGAAAAGATAGAGAATCTTTTCCCGATCATGATGACGCCAAAATGGAAATAAATGGTATCAAATACCGACACAGTGGAAATATAAACATATATACAGTATAATGTGATCCTTTATTGACAACGTTTCACCCACACAGTGGGCTTTTTCAAGTCACACACAGATCTACCTGGGGTGGAAGGTACGGGATTATTTATAGTCATATATTTATGACTATAAATACTCCCGTACCTTCCACCCCAGGTAGATCTGTGTGTGACTTGAAAAAGCCCACTGTGTGGGTGAAACGTTGTCAATAAAGGATCACATTATACTGCATATGTGTTTATATTTCCATGATGCCAAAAGTATGAAATTTGATGGAAAAGTTAGGGAATTATGCTCTCGCAAAGTTAGCGGTCTCGATGATGTTTACGCATTGGCGATTTTGCCCACTTTGAGCCCTATTTTCGGCCAATTCCAGTGTACTAGTCGACAAAAATCATACCTATTTAGCTAGGACTCCATTTTTTTCTATCGAATGAATACAAGAAACCACCCATTTACCGATTTCAACTATCCAATACAGTGGTCAGAATTTATCAATTTTGCCAATTTCACACAAATTTCAAAAGATGCCAATTTCCAAATAGGGTCCAGAATAAACAAGAAAGACATTCCTAGCACTAAAATAACATTTCCTCTGTTCATTAGTCACATCCCCACACCCCTCTTACATTCTTTTGCTTTCCATTTTGAATTTTTATTCTCACAAAAAATAGATGATTTACTGTTATGCAGACTACTGCATTAGTGTAGAAATGGTATAAATAATATTGGCACACTTGCGAAAGAATATTAGACTCACCAGTTGATGTGTATTGGATGCTTAGCATGATTTGTTTACTTTTGAACTTTGGTAAAATTCGAATATTTCTGCTACTTTGAGCTCAATTTCAAGGTACTTTTCTTTGTAAAACCAGTCAAAATCATCTCAATTTCTGTAATATGTCTTCCATTCTATCAAATGAGACCAGGAAAAATAGAATACAATAATAAATACCATACGAAAATACAGTGCAAAGTCACTGTTTTAATCCAAAAACACGGTCAAGTTTTTTTTTCTCATTACGCACTGTGTGCTGCAGGATTTTTTTTATACTGCGCACACTGACCACATAGACCCATTCTTTCATATGTAGGCCTACCAGCTTTCTCTCACTAGATTTGAAGGCGCTAGAATTTATGAGTACTAGTACGTCAAGGACCCTGGCACGTAAGCCGTACTAGTTCGGCTGAAACCCGAAAGGGTTAATCCATTCCGTGACCTAGCTCGTAACTCAATTTGCTCATATAGCAAATCAATTTTCCTCATTTAAATTAATTGAAATTCCATTAACCCTTAAACTGTCCAAACGTAGATCTACGTTTGCACGAGTAGCATTCCGAATGTAGATTTACTTTTT